TAACTAAACGATTTGTGTTATATCACATGATATTAAATTGTCGGATTTTATTGGGCGGTTTTTCCGTTACACTGCATTTAAGAAATTGAAACAAATTGAAAAATTGTCGAGTATAGAGTTGGTGCACCATATAAGGGCCAACAAGTATCGTGCACTTATAGAATAGGGAGAACCTGCACTTATCGCATAGGTCCCAACATGGGACCAGATTATTCCTGCACTTAGAGAGACAATGCACTTAGGGATCATGCACTTAGGGAGAGTCCACTATACATACTGATACAGCATTCACAATATCCCTCCGTGATTTGCTGATCATTACTTAGTTTCAATTGGTCTAAATGACAATTTGCCGCTCTTTTTGCCCAATATGAATTATTGCCTTAGCTGAATATGTATATATATATATATGTGTGTGTGTGTGTGTGTGTTATTACCCTACAGAATATGGAATGTACCTCTTGTCGCAAGTCTTATTTGTCATTAGCACGATCATAATCATAATCCAGAAACTGGAGCAGCTTTGACTCAAAGAGTGGGTAAACGTCAATGAATTCTATTGCTAAGTGTTTAGATGACGATTTTCTCTGAAAGGCATTATCAAATAAAGTAGACAACAGAGGGAATATCAGAAGTTGCAAATGTAACCACAAGACAGCTGAAGTTTAACATATGAAACTATAAGATGCTGGTCTAATAGATGATGATGTTTAAACCTTGTTCAAACTCCAAAGAAGGCTTTCTTTAACTATTGATGGAGTATTGAACTTCAGAGACCACTCAGCAGATCTCCCGTCGCCAGAGAAAGGACAGTATTACGGATGCCTCAAAAGTCGGATTGGGAAGGAAAGCGATCTTTTCAGTCCGATCGCTGAACCTCACAAAGTCATGACCCTGCTTTATTGGCCATGCGAGTCATCGAGGGAAGGGTACGCAGTATCGGGTAAATAATTTATCAAATCCATCGCTCATTTCGACGTTTTTATAAAAAGCTAATCTTTTATTATATTTATATTTTCAATTTGCAACACTTCTCAGTTACGATTAGTAACGAGTACCCAGATCTTCTGTGTCCGAAATTGTACCGTAAGATGGGGGTTGCTTGGCAGTTATTACGAAAGAGGGGTTCTGATTGGTGTTTCCCATATCTACAAATTGCGAAAAAGAAAAATACCTACCCGGAAGAGATAAGGTTGTCAAACCAATATACGCATCAACAATGACGAGATTTTTTTACAAACCACCACAAATTGAATACAAATCAATGTAATATCGCCAAGAACCTGCATCTCAATACAATATAGGTATATCTGGTTCTTTCCCATGTCCACCAATAATTTTCTCACAGAGTCTCCTGATCTCACTCGATCGGTAAACAGTAAGTTGTAGTGAGCAAGAATCATCCGATATGCAGGAGGATTGCTACAGAATAGACTATGTGTTATCCCCAAATGAAACAGAATAAAAATTGGTAGAAATGTTGCCAACCTTGAAGCATGGCATCATCAGTAATCAAGTCAATGAATATGACTGACATAATAACGCTCATAAAACGCAAGAAATGGAATTTATTGTGCCAACCGAGGCAAGACTGACGATCTGTGATGTCGGTAGGGAAAATGTGAGCTTCTGAAAAGTTGCCAGCAGTTTTTTGAAAAATGAGAACTTACTATCCTGAGTATGAGAGAGCAGCAAGAACTAAAGAATCGTCTTGGATGCAAACAATATACATTATGTAATGTTCAAGGCGGAGACTCAAAACCATCCTTCCTACCTAATAACTCTGAACGTGTAATAATTCACGATGAAAACAAGAACCCTCTGTTAAAGAAGAATGGTAGCAGAACAGGCGAAAAAGTATGTGAAGCTATCATGTTGTTTATATGTATATGCAGTACAAAAACCTTGTTCAAATTTTTGGCTGATTTTACACATAGGATAATAATAAAACATGATTATCTAACACATTACACAGATTTTACCCAGGTTATCTATTTGTCAGGCCTAAAAAGAAATATCCAATTATTATGAACACAACAATCAATTTCTTCTGGCAGTTCGCAATTGCTTTTTCAATTCTTTAATCGTAATCATACCCCAACCATAACTATCAGGTTCATAAAATTTAATGACCTGCAAAATTTGCATTCTCAAAGTTCAGCACTTTTTTTCATATGTAGTGCTGTAATAATTATTGATGGTTGGTGTGAGTGCCTTTTGATTGCAAATAGTCAAAAGTTCTTGAATATGTATGGTGTGCCAGAGTTGTCAAAAGTCTGTATTTTTATACAGATTTTCTGTATTAAAATACAGTTATTTAATGTACAGATTCTGAAAAATTATTTGTCTGAAGCTGAAACTTAAACTGGCCAATGAGGTTAGAGAATAGAATCTGATCAATGAAAGGTCATGGTTTCCAGCTTCAGCTGGATTTCAACATCAGCTCCCACAACATTATTATTATATGGACTGGTTAACACAAGTCATGGTGACACTAATTTAATATGCAGAAACATAAATGCAAAGTCATAACCTCTTTGGAAAAGTCTGAGCACAAAGATTACAGAACCATTGCAAGGGATTGTGGGTAGCTTTAATAGCAAGAGTGAAAGAACTGTCTGAGAACTGTTATACAGACTGCTACACAAGCTACAGCAATATGCAGAAACATAAAGGCAAAGTCATAACCTCTTTGGAAAAGTCTGAGTACAAAGATTACAGAACCACTGCAAGGGATTGTGGGTAGTGTTAGGAGCAGGAGGGAAAAAACTGTCTGAGTGAGTGACAGGTGAGAGACAGAGAGAACAAGAGAGTGTAAGAATAATAAAGCAAGAATGAGAAATCAAAAGAGTGAGAAATCAAAAGAGTGAGAGAGTGAGAAAGTAATTGTGAAATAGCAAGAGTGTGATCACAATAAGAGAGGAGGTGAACAAAAGAATGGAATTATTGAGAGTGGTGAACAAGTGAAAGACTGAAAGCATGATTGAAGACTGAAAGCATGATTGAAGACTGAAAGAAGTAGAGATATGAAAGAGTGAGAATTAAGATAGTGAGCAATTGAAAAAGTGTGAGGAGTGAGAGAGAGCAGGAGAATGAATTTGAAAAAGATCAGGAGTGATTGAAAGAAAGAGGGGAGATCAAAAGTGTAATTATTGGATAAAAGACTAACTACACAAAAGTATGAGCAATTGGAGTAGAATTGGAGAGTGAAGGGAAAGTGATTTGGAGAGTAGTTGGGAGAATGATTGTGAGAGTGGTTGGGAGAGTGGTTAGGGATGGTGATTAGAAAGAGGTTGGGAGAATGTGAAAAGAACAGCAGTGTAAGAGATTGAAAGAGCATAAGAAAGTTATCAAAGAAGCAAAAAAAAGAAATGGAAATTAACATGCCATGGGTATAGAGTTTTTGGTTGTTGAGTTGTTAGTATTTAGTTATGATAAAGAGTAAGGTGCTTAGCCGTTTTCTGATTACTAGCTTCTGTGACTCCTTCGTTTCACATGTTTTCATTGTACTTCTCAAGCTCTGCAAAAATACATGGAAGGTTTTTTGCTCTTAGTTTCTGGAAGGTGGACACTGCAAAGGTTTAAATATTGGTCATTAGTTTCCCGTTCTCATTTTACCCTAATAAACAACATACATAGCAAATCTAGAGTTTTTGGGTCTCATTTGCTTTTTTTAAAAAAGCTATATGCAAAACTAGACGTCTTTTACTATGGTTTTTAGCAACGCATTAATATTATGAAAATTCGCAAAGAATGCATACGTAAACAGTTGTAAAAATGAGTGAGAGCCAATCATATTTCGAGAAATTTGTCGCAAATTTTTCTAGAATCGGATTTCCATCTTTGGACTGTATTTACGGAAACAATCGTGACAAATGTAATGATATGTTACACTAGGCAATATATTGATGCTTTACTATTGTTTGACAGTCGCACTCCTTATGCACAGACATGTCATAACATGTCATATCGCACGGGCACTTTTGTTATTGATGTTGAAAATATTTTACCGCGACCGTCACGATTGTTTCGTAAATAAGAACAATACTATCAGTATAAACGCGATATCGATAGCCGCTTATGGGTTGATTGCATAAATCACGACAACATTTATATGTTACACTAGGCAATATATTGGTGCCCGTTTATGCTTTACTATTGGACAGTCACACTCCTTATGCATAGACATGTCAAATCGCATGGGCGCTTTTGTTATTGATATTATCATACGCGTGAAAATATTTTGCCGCGACTGTCACGATTGTTTCGTAAATACGAACAATAGTATCAGTATAACACACGCGATATCGATAGCCGCTTATGGGTTGACTGCATAAATCACGACAATATTTATACTTATAAGGTCACGCACGACAACAATATCAAGTGTCATTTAACACGCGAACACGCATCCACTCATAATATATATATATACCCTGTTGCTCCTCTCCGTAGCGCATGTATCGCTTCACAACCTCTCCTCCTCCAAAACGCAAATACAACGTTATCAAAAAGTTAATATACAACGAACAAGCTTTTTACTGCTACTTAAACACATACTGCACTGCTACTACCCCTAACGACAGTTTACCACAACGAAGAACGCCCTTTGCTACTACTCCATAACGACGGTTGCCACAACGAAGTCGAAGAACGCTCTTTGCTGCTACTACGCACATACGACAGTTGCCACAACAAACAGGTCATTACAGAGGCCTGTCAGAGAGAGCCTTGTACTACTAGTACTCAGTACATGGCTGCCCAGTGAAATAACGGTGAAGTCAACTGCTTTAATGGCTGGAAAGAAGAGGAAAGATCATAATGAGTTTGTTGCATTTGCTGTGGTAATGCAAATTGGAGCTATTCAAGATGGAAGGATGATAAGCAAGAAGAGGTTGATTAGTGGAAGAGTGCAGAATAATAATCATCACGTTAAAGTCTGTTTGAAAGACGCCGAAGTCAGGGTTAATTACCCTGACAAAATATTACAGACACTTATAAATAATACTGGATCTCGTATAGCCTTCCTCTTCCTTAAAATGTATCATGAACGATTTGACGACGATTTTCATACTAAAAAAATGGATATTTTATGTCAAATCGATTTATCCTATATTTTAATGTTTCAAGTAAGTATGAAAGCAATTAATGTGTATACAAAAAGAGTTTGATGGTAAATACTGACTAAATAATATTTCTGATTAAAATAATAGAGGGAGGAAATGCAATCAAACGAGGAGATAACAGAAGACTCCTTGTTTTATCAATTACTCGACTATATATTCTCTAGTAAGTAATCTATTTCCTAGAAAGAGCGGAGAATCTATGCTATGTGTTATCATGTTTTTCACATAACTTCAACGTATTGATATTGTCATACTTACTCTGTCTAACTTCTCTAAAAAAAGATACTAGAACCGAGCTATTAAATCAATTGCTCAACCTTCCGTACAACGCCAATGCAGCCGAGACAGAATATTTAAGAAACTATTGCATAAGGGAAAACCATCGCGGCTTTCTGGTCATATTTGATGAACATCATTAATATACGAGATTGTCAGACATGAATTGTGTTGTAATTTTATTAGCAAATTCAATAGCAAGAAATGTTAAAATAAGTGTTACTTTTTTCTATAAAGAGGAATTTGGAAATTGCAATGTAAGTTTGATACAAAACAGTCACTGGACATTTCTTGACATGGACTTTCTCCTTGATAATAATATGGTAACAGCAATTATAATAATCCCAGCATCAACGAGTATAATCTTAACTGGCAAAATTATTTACAAAGTAAAGAAAGATATTTTTGTAATAAATTTGTTTCTTTTTCAGCAATGCCGACTTGTATTTATATATTACAAAACTATAAAACTTGCGATATGTAATTCAATGACCGTAACAACCATTATAAATGTCGATTGATTAAATTCGGTTATCCTTGGGATATGAACACGTCGTTTATTACACATTCAGTCTTAACGCTGAATTTATCGAGTGTTACGGCCAACACTTGCTATTGGGCTAATTCTATCATACTTAATTTCGCTAGAAACTTTTTACTGTACACATAGCCTGTCCCGCTAAAGAAGGAATTATTCCACTGGACACAGTCGAGAGGCCCATTGACATTGTATATACCATTCTCCCCCAAGTGTAACACGGCTAGCTCTAATTACGCGTTGCTAAATACGCCAGAGCGAGATCTTAAACTGACGTTGTAAATTGCCAAAACACTTGGCATGCATCTTGAATATTGTGGCTCATTCATCTTTGGCAAAGCCCGCTCACTCAGCCCTGAATTTATTATTGTAGCACGATTGTTGCACAAAGCAAAGCGTAGCAGGTATGCATTGCCATCCGTTCGCGCATATTATATATGATTGGCCTCTTGGTGATGACTTTCCGAAATATTCTTCTAATTATGAACACTAAAATTTCAAAATCACATTTTTTTTGTATGTTCATTTTATTTACATTTGTATTTCCATACACTTCCAATGCATTCAACACACTCGTATTCAATGAATCAGTGCCAGGACTACTCGCAATAGCTCAACTTAGGTCAGCTCAATCATACCCTGACAATACAATTCTCCTTCGCTTTGTAAAGCCTATAAACATTTCGTGCAACGAACCTGAAGTTTTCTTACGCATCGTTTATCCCAATGCAACTGTCACTAAACTAGATATTCCATTATCACCAGAGTTAATTAGTACGTGTGTTGGATATGGGCAGGACTTTGTGCAAGTCGACGTCATTCCTCCTCATTATCTGCTACTTTCGTACATAACAAAGACGCTTGTTAATGGGGATCCAACGCAGATACGATTTCAGCGAATAGGTTATATAATCGACGTCAATGGCCAAACACCCAAGTAAGAATTCGAAACACGCTCGTCCTTTGAATAATAATATCAAATTGGAATTAATTATTATTCTTCACAGCGGCAGTCAGATTCAACTAACCGAGGCAGTTATAGTACCGAGCAATGCAATTATAGTTCCTAATATCAACGAAGAAGATGGATTTTTACTTACATATCAGATGACATACGATAATATGATTGGATGGTCAAAATGGAGCGCAGTGTAAGAAAATAATTATTTACGAGAACCCTATATTTTACATACTCGCTTTACTGAATCAACCCATTCCACATTCATTCGTTCGCAGCAGCCAAGAGAACCAGACTTTTACTAAATTAGCAAGCGGTAATCTTCCAGCTGTCCACAATGCATATCCCTTTGCAACTACAAACGGTGGATATGGAATAGCATATACAGTCTTTTCTTCAACTGCAGACATACCATGGAAGGCTATCGTGCAACTAATGGAATCAGACTCGAATGACTTTGGACAAACATATATTATTCACGAGGCCGACTTGGCATTTTCCGACTTTCGTGTACATTATTGTGATTTTGCGTACGCTGGAGCAGGATACAATTGCGTATTAAAATTAGAACAGAAGAATGCAACAACTGGGGCTACGCGTGTTACCTTCATGATAGCAAACTTTCTTACTTCTGGATCAGTTGTTCGATTAGATAAGTTGGGATTCGATGGCGTAACCCTTCCGTTTGATGATATTACATCTCTCTTCTATGGCGGATTTTTGGTGACGTTTTACAATAAACCTAGCATAGACGTTGACAGTGTCGTTGGTTACACGTTCCGTAACAACGGTTCTAATGCTGGCCAGTGGGATATACCTGATACAGTCAGAGTATCTGATACCTATACTTTGTTAAGTAACAACACCCTTGTTGCCGTATCGGAAATTCAAAGCTACAGTTGGAAACTAGTTAGCACGGATTTGAATAAATTCGTAGACGGTAATTAGTTGTAGAGTCATGTTGCAGATATGTATTACCTACCGTGTGACTCACAAATTTCTCTGTCCTTTAGATAAGGGTTATGGTAATCTCAACATTAGCACGACTGAACCAAGGATCAATGCTAGTTTTCCGATTCCGCGAGCGTCAATCAACATCACGTTTATACAGCCAGTGTCGCTGTCGTATGGAAACATTTCCATCTACCAATACGACTCAACGGGGGGAAAATTGCTGCGACAGACGGTGTCCGGGATGTCGCCGTATGTGCAAGCGAAAAATGACGGATATGCCGTATCAGTCAAAGTTCTCGAAAGTACATTTAATCAGCCGGGTGCATCCTATTATGTAACGACGGACAACGACTTTGTTAAATCAAAGCAGTTGGACGAACCGATATTTGGAATAGCAAAAAATAAATGGATTTTTAGCAGACAAGAATTGAACGATAATGTAAAAGATGAAGGAACGCTTGCTTTGTTACGACTCGGCCAAAACGGAACAGCATACTTTAGTAACTTGGATAAAAATGGAATGAACGAGTTTTTTGACGAGATACTTTCTGAATTGGTTGCTGTCATTCCACTGCAACCAGGCAGGTTGACTACGTCAAAGAAACATCAATTCGACACTGCAAATTCTTCCAATGTTCTACTTCAATTTCGTGTTGAGGCTGGTAACATTTCCGAACCAAGTACCAAACAAGTTATTACCGATCTGGATACAATGGTGAAGAACAAAGCCATTACTCCACTTGTTACTAAACCGCTTGCATCCATGCTTGATGAGACATTCGGATTTAAACCTATACGTACGTATTGAAAAATTATGGGGGAGTTAACAAACGAGAGGAAGACGCGGAGGGATGTACGACAGTGATATTATGTAAAGATAGGAATGGCGGTTGTGATAATGGTTATCGGATATATAACGTACGATGCATAATACATACAATTCATTTCATAATTTGTTTTCTGAACAGCTGATCTGTGGCAAAAATACAAAATGAGGCTTTTGTACTTGATTGCATTTTTCATGTTAATGCTCATATCTTTTGTCGCCGCACACCGCTTATCTCCAGAGGTATGTCAGATAACATATGCGCGAGCATGTTATGTGTTAAATATATATAAGCTGACTCTTTGTGTGTTATTATTTTTGAATCAGTCAAGGAATTGGGCCATATTTCCGATTACTTTTATCTGCATAGACTATGCATTAGACATTGCTTTTATTGTCAGACATGGAAACGACGTACCATCACTATATTATCCAAGGTATTTTTACGATACGCATTTCATCGACTGTAGTTCTTACCTGTTGATGCACTAACCAACACTGTTATTGTTATTGACCATCATAACTTTTATCACAGCGTAATCATTATTTTTCTTTCATTTGCATTCAATGCTATCATGGCATTCCTCATTCTTATGAGAGAAAAGATAAATAATCCGGAATTCGATCGCTGGTTTGAGGATAACCTAATAATAACATCTCTGCTTACCATTTTATCGGGGGCAGAAATTGAAGCATTGAGGTTTATTTCTTCGAGATTTGCTGGGCTCCACATGTTTGCCGCTCCATTATCAAAGGCTGCCGGATCGTGGATTTTTTGGGGAGGATTTATAACTCTGATTATCGAAGACATCCCTCAAGCCGTCATTCAAGTAAGCTGGACTGAACGAGATGAAAAAAAGTGATATTATAAAATATTAACTTTTTCATTGCTTCCTTTTTTTTTTTGGTCTGCCTTTATAGATCCTCTATCTTCATTTCGCTATTTCATATGACATTATTCCATTCTCGACACTTGTGACGAGTTTAATAGTCCTGTGCAATAATGTCTTTACACGAGTATATTACATAGTTTGCGGTTGCTTGCACGATAAAACATACCGTCAACCAACAGCCGAAGACCCATTAACATCGGGTATAGTATCGTTCCAAGAAAGTCTTTAAGCGTACAGATAGAGAGGACATATGAATAAAATGTACAGCTGCACTCGCATATCGTAAGCGAGAATGAGATATACAATAACATACCTACCGTAAAGTCACGGAATTGATAAACAACGCGTATTTTGTATATTCTCGATTATATTAAAAATAATAATTTAACCTCAAACGTAAATAAAAAAACCATTCTGTATAGTATGTGTGTGGTCTAGGAATGATTAAATTGAAATAATAAAACAACATAACGTACGTCTATAATGTACGAATATATAAACGAAACTTTCAAAAGCTAATTGTCCATTTTTATTCTGAAAAGTCATTTATTTCTGTAACTCTATAATCTACTGAATAAATATTCACCAACTACTATTCACAATCATCTTCTTTAACTCCATACGTCTTCTTGGTATTTGTTTTGATTTCGAAGATCCTTGACGTAATTTGTTGCATTACCACTATCCATGCCACCACACTCTTGTGCAATTTGAATAAGGCAGCTATTAACGTCGCGTGCCATACTCTTGGCATCGCTTAGGGAATAAAAAGAAATCGGGTGGTTAATTTGTGCAAGTCATATATTACCATCACAAAGTAGCAATACCCACCCGCAGACGTAAAAGTATCCTCCGCGATTTCGTAGTAGATCCCAGATGTACTCTTTATGTTCACGTAACCGATGCTGTACGTAAACTTTATGTTCCTATGTAATCGGAAAAAAGATTCATTATTTCAAGACACAATATCCGTAACGATAATAAAAAGCACTGTTCAACTATAGGTAATTTTTTCAGAATAACTAATGACCCAAGTAGTTTCTCTAACACTGCTTCCACAGTATAACACCACCTTCAAACCTATTTATTACATAACATACCAGCTCACGGGAAAAAGCAGTGATCAGCTTGCCTCTATCACCCAATACCTTAAAGTATTCCTCAAACTCTTCCTCATACAGGAAATCCTCATGTCTCCGCCTGCATCCGTAAAAAAGCACCGTGTCGCCCACCTCAACGCCTTCAGTTCTCATCCACGTTCTTTCGATCACAAATCCTCTGAAAGGAGCCACCCCTGTCCCTGGACCAACCATTACAATTGGAGTCTTTGGATTCGGGGGTAGTTTGAAATTAGTGCGTCTAACGTGTAATGCTAATCGGATTATATTGTTCGATTCATCATGGTATTTATTTCTAGGACCGGAATAGAGATAAAATGGTGCTGTTTCTGGATGTTGAATATTCCTTAGTTTACGATGCACTTGTAGGAGATAGTTTGTAGCAAGACCATATACAGTCTTTTCCGAAGCGGTAGATGGATTATATGATAACACCGTAGCGGTAACATGAATTGAGTTGGGAGTTGCCTTTGGACTACTAGATATCGAGTAGTATCTAAGTTGCAATCTTGGCAGTGACTCAATGATTAGATCCAAAGGAATAGTATCTAGTGGTTTTCCTCCGGGCGATATCTTCTCTAACAGCTCTCCGAGAGTAAGATGAGAATCAGCCACTTCCACTCTATATGCTTCCTTATCCTCACCAAGAGAAGTGAGCTTGGCTCGCGCTTCTTCAGTAGAAACATATTGTGCAAGTGTTCCAATAAACTGCCGAGAAGTGGTGGTATGAATATCGAGATAATTACGAAATATTGTAGCGTATGTCGTAGGCACAGGGAAAGGGTGTTTCTTTGTTGCAGATGCTAAATAAGCAAAGGTTAATTACAGTGTAATACAAGATCTGTTAAACGAAAATATTAAAATATGAAAAGTATTGCTCACGATCAGTGCTCTCCACCATTATGACAGTATCTCTCTTCTCCCATAGACCCAAAACATGAAGAATGCGATATACATCCTGTTCAGGATTCATCGGCCAGATTGCACAATGGTCACCTGACTGATAAGTCATGCCAGATTCAGAGATATCCATTTCGAGGTGGACGCAATTACGTCCTCGAATTTTAAAGAGTTCGCGGGAAATTTGGATTGGTGCGGGATATGGATTCTTTGCATCATATGTTTGGTACCTGGAGCAATAATTTGTGGAGAAGTGCAATTTAATACGTATGACATAATTGTAGCATAACTGATTGTTTATGACATCGTTTACCCATTGAGTGCTTGCTCACTGTGTTCTCCATAGTAGACTTTTTCAGGCTCATAGGAATTCAATTCCGTTATCTTGTAAGCGGGCACGCGCGCACTAGCATCAGATTCAAATGACAAAGCGTTAACTTTAAGAGACATAAGCTTTACTCAAAATACCAATGAATAATTACCTTGCATGTATTGTATTCTGATCAATTCCCATGGTATCACATACAGCCTTCCACATATCTTCCTTCCATCCGAGAAAGTCCTCCTCCAGACTTCCATCATCATCACCTTCGCCACGTTTACCGATCCTCTGAGCTCCAAACTCTGTCAACTTGTTATCAACCGTCCTTCCGACTGCATTGAAAATCTCGTATGTTGAATTACCAAGCGCGAAAACAACATATCTTAGACCTTGTAATGGTTTTTCTTCAACAGGAATTCCCGTTGATAATTCAGGATTCTCCGAGGTAATCAATTCCCAAAACTCGATCGCATCATCAGTCGGCTCACCCTCGCCTAAAAATGAGTGATAATTGATTGATTAATATGACATAAAAAAAAGAAAAAGAAAAAGATTATTATCAATAATTTGTATACTACCATACGTAGCCATGCAAAAAAATGCGATACAATCAGATGGAAATACGTCCAGTAGCGTCATATCACAATCTTCAACGTCAACAGTCATTGTCCGAAGGCCAAATCGTTGTGTACCCTCCTTAGCAAGACGAGACGCATAATCTTCTGCAGTACCAGTCTGTGATCCGTAGAATATGATCACATTCTTGTCCTAGGATACATGGAATGGTATTTAGAAACGATGCGGAAGCTTCATGGCGATGGAATATCTGAATCACTGTTTATGCTGGCTGGCTAATCAATAACGGCAAAATATTTCACGTATCTCGTTTTTTTTTAATGCCAAGCTTACCATTTCCTTCATTCTTTGTACAAAATCCCTATTCTTCTTCTTTCTTGTTGGCAGCCCATTTTTAGCGTCCGTGAGTGGTTTCACACCGATGCCTGTCGATGTTTGCTTTTTGCCAAAAGGAAGAGATTCCCGTGCAAAGTATAATGCAGAGCATACAGCCAAAATGAACAATATGACGAGATCGATTGTATCAATCAATGGCTCTTCGTCGTATTCGGACATGCTTCGTGACGAAATAATGGGATTGTATAACCGGTACTTTAATGACGAAAGAGATAAAATTGTGGGGGGGTTTGGTGGTAAATCGTTTTTTATATATACTTGGGACGGGACCTAAATAGTATGGATTCGGTGGTGCCGATCAGTAATGTGATTATCGTAGCTGACACACTGAGAAATATTATACTAATACGGTAAATGATAAATTACCAATCATGCATTGACACGCACGGGACAATTGTAGACCCGTCACTTTGATTGTTATTATTAATCCAATGAGATTTAACAATATTATTAATGTCAGAATGCAATTGTTTAATTGTGTATTTGGCTAAAAGCTGATTACGTTCGCATGTCTGCATTGTGACAAAAAGCTCCCGGTAACTACATAAGTCACGACATCGTTGTTCAACGCTAAAGTTTCTAACCTTATTTAACCCTTGTATGCGGTGCGGAACTACATAGGAATAGCTGTCGAATAGTTGTCGCATTTAGGAAACTGTATGTAAAACGCTAATCGATAATCGTCAAATAAACGCCACAAATAACAATATTCACATACAGTCCCTCGGATATATCCCAGCTTTGGGGCGACCGATTTCCTCTATTATATCTCAGTATAAATTTCCCTCACTTGTATCCCAATCGACATATCCCTATCCCCCATATCATATAGAAATATATAATGATCATACGTCAATTACAGTTGATGCTGTCTGTACCGAACTGGCCGGCTGGAGGATTTTAACCAGAGTTCGTTATAACCAGAGCTTGCTTCGTTATGTCACGTGACAATACTTTACAAATTCAGTCACGCTGCTATATAACGACATCTCCAGAAATCTTGCTGAACGAAAATTTTATATTGCTTAGTCGTTGTATGTAAGTTAATTCTCGATATAAGGACATTTTCGATATAGTGACCATTGGATTGGAACCGAGCGTGTCGTTATATCGAGACCCACTTGTAATACACTTTGCTTATTTACTAAATCTAACAAAACAACATTCAAAATTGAAAATAGAATAAAAACTTTATCAACTGCTTGTACATAATGAAGCTACTCAATATCAACAATTTTATCCTCAAAATAGTGGGTTGTTTAAATAGTTAATCCAATTCGTCTATTTAAGTTTCGAAGGACTCTTACTTCCTCATATTTAACCTTACCAAATTATTAACTCGGTAAGATTGACGCCAATAGTCTGCCTTTTTGATTTTCTAAAGCAATAATTTCTGCAAATGTTACATGTGATTTTTATGCTTCGTGTGACAATTCGTTATAGGAAAAGCAAATATAATATGCAAAATTTCGAAAGGTAGCTCGGATCCGTTATAAACAGATTTATTAATAAAAGTTCGTTATAATCAGATTTATTAATTAGAAAAAATCGGGTCTGGCGACAAAGTTCGGTATATCCCCTCGGTAATTTACCTTACTATATGTCAATCGTGTTACATAAATATCATGCTATTTCCATATATAGTCAGTATACCTATTTTTGGTTAGTAGATTAACGCTATGCATGATTATTACATGTTTATATGACCTGACGGAAAAGTGGCGTGTTATATGACCTGATGGAAAAGTGGCATGTTTATATGACAACGGTTTAACTAGAAATTTAAATTGTGCCTGCCCGGCTTCGTCGGCCAGGCTTGACATAATAAATCAACAGTATTATATTTAATTAGTATACATTTTATATTTTTATTATGATAACGGTTTATCTAATTGTATTTAAATACAGTAGTGTGTATTGTGTTGTATTATTAATTTAGTTCTAATTTTACTATTATTGTTATTATTGATTTAATATCTGTCGTTCGCTCTTAATACGTGAGTGGATAGAAAGCTGACAAATCTGTTGTAATTGTTGGTATTCTTTAGTTACTTCAGGATCCGTTTTGAAAGCATCTTTGTGTAGGCTCATAATTTGAACACCGTGCAACGCAGAATATAGAGGGTGTGCATATATTTACTAACTCCCGAGCTTGGGACTTGCGTGCATATATGGAGGGTCGACTGTAACACGAGAAATTGGTTGAGAACAATTTCCTGTTTAGCATTTATTTATTAAAGATTTAACTCATAGACAAAAAAGAGTATATAAATATGCGTCTTTTTTTAACAATAATGTAATATCTAATATCAGTAAAATGGTTATAAACTTTTACTTATTTCGTTTTCTGTTTCTTGTTCGTGTTGTTTCTAGTTGTACGTCTTTTTCTTGTATGTATTTGATTGTTCAATGACAATATCATCATCATTGTCACTGATAACAACTTCTTCGTTATTTGTGTTAATGTGAGTGTCTATTTCGGTAATGCTATCATTTCTAAAGATTGATTAGCGAGAAATCATCGTTAATTTTTGTGCTTTTTTGTTTCGACGCACTGCTCAGTGCGTTGCAAGGAGATGGTGCTTGTAGAGGTTGTTCTTGGCGAATTTGTGCAATTCTTTGTTCTATGTCTGATTTTCCGCTAGTTTGGCCAATAAGAGTGTTATTTTTTTCCCACGGAATATTGATAGTGGCGTCACTTTCGACTTTGTTAGAGATAAATTGAAATTCTAACAACTCGCAATATAATTGCTTTTCCAAAAAAAAATAAAGTTACAGTCACATGAACCAATGAATTTCTTTTTGCTTTACGATGCCGTTCTTTAAGCGGCCATTAAGTGGGTGGGTCAACATTATTGTATACGGCTGGAATTAATCTTTTGTCAAATCTGGTTTTACTTGTCTCGGTAGTGTGTAACCCGTTTGTGTGAGATCAGCATTATTCGTAGTGTTGCCGATTAAGTGTACGACTGGTTTCGAAATGAGAATATAATCTTCGTCTATATGTAATCGAATGCTCGTCGTTAAAAGAATTATCTGTAAATTTCCCTGAGATTGGGTACAGGTACACTCCGTTCTCTTGAAGTTGCTGTGTGATTTCAGATGATGTATTGTCTCCCTCTATTAGATTGTTTTCGGACGCGTAGGCGGTAAATTTGTAAAGCTGATATCCGGCTTCTGCATTGATTCTTGATATGGCGGAGCTTTTTGAACGGTTTTGTTGTTATAAGTCTTGTCCGCAATAGAAACTATGTACATAATAGCCGTGAGAGTTGCAATCATTTTGTTCAATGGTAGTAATCAGTAATCAGGGATCAAATACATGATAATACCAAAAGAATATATGTCTGATTGAGTGTATATGCCCGAATGGTTGAATTTGATTCGCGTGAATTCACTGATTGTGAGAGACCAAGATCACGTATGAATGATTGTGTATTATAACTGTCATCGTTATAATGCTGCAAAAACTATGTAGATCACGTCAATTTGTAAATATTTTGACAAAGACTACCATTGTTAGCATATTGCATAACATAACAATCATGTACTCTTTTGTTTCCAACACTCGCACACTTAGCGTGATTTCTGACAAGTCAGATTAAACATCGTTTTAATTAATAATATAAAAGATTGCTCACCTCAGAAATAAATAATTCTGGTATCTGATCAAAGTCCTCGCAGCGTTTGAGAACAACAATCTCTGGCATACACCATATTCCTGAATACTTTTTATACTCGGCAAATTTCATCAAAGTCGGCATACTGCATATGCTTTACATTTTCATTAGTTCGTATAAATCTGTCTAATATCACATATAGGTCGTATTATTACATTTATTTATCCTTTAATTGTCCACCATTTTCATCGGCTAGATAATTTTATAGGGACGTGATTTTCATGCTCTTTCACTGCAACCAGTACAAATCCATATCCATCGTCCATCACTCATGGTGACGCGATACAACCCACCAAATTCATGCAAAGGATCATTAGCAGCCAAGAACGCCTCAAGTTCACGCATGGCATGGCAGAGCCCTGCGCATATTTCATCCTATTGAGTGGATCGTTCTGTACTGTTTCTAGGTCTCTTGCAACAAACCATCCGTTTCTGTTTCGTACATAATTTCGCACAGCCGTTTGAAGTAGTCCATTGGCTAGCTGCTATATCAGCGATTATGCTTGCCACTGTATCCGGAAATTGCATTCTTGTAAAGAAACAGATATAGCTGAGCCTATGAGAATGGCCAGGATAGAGAGGTATGGGCCCAGTTTTGGCAAGAAACGGTTTCGGATCAAACATCTATATAGCAAATATATTGGTCGTGTTTAATAAATGCAAATTACATTGTGTATATATCTCACATTCGATACGGCGTTAGATAAAACACATACCTTGTAGCCAGGATGGCCGGTGAAATGACCTTCACAAAGAATGTGGAGTACGAAGGTATTCCTTCCCCAAGCGTGTGGTTTGAACATTGTGTGAGGCTCTTTCCCCGGCAGTAACATGAACAGACACATCCCTAATATCAGATATACTGTTCACGAATTGCGATAGGATCACATTAGTGGCTTGGTTTATGGTATTAATATTCTCTCAGCAGACTATTGTATATCTTTGAGCCACGATAAAAGCAATGAATATGAGAAAACATGACCCAAGTGTTTGCAGATAGAATATACCTGAGCAGTATTAGTCCCACCGGTCAAATATGCTTAAAGTTCCTCGACAGAAGCTCTCTTCTTATTTCTGAAGCACATACTTTGCTTGAGTATCGGCTACTCTGTAAACAGGAAAATCAAAGTCTCCTGTATAATATTCTTTCAATAATTTGGCATTGGCCTCTTGTTCACTGGAAAAGATAGGTCTTCCAGTATACAGCTCGTACATTATACATCCCAACGACCACATATCCATTGATATATCTGCTTTAATACCAGTATGCAATGTAGCCGTGTTGATTACTTCAGCTGTGTTTAAAGAAAACAAAATCAGCATGCTACGGAATAAGAAATTTTACGACTCGAAACTATGAATCATTACTTTTCAATACTTGTTACTACTTACGTGATGAATATCGTAATGTGCTACTATCAACATATTCCTCTCCATCCAGACTCACAATAAAGTTACCCAAGCTCATAGATTATTGGTCCATGACCATAACGTATTTCCAATCAGTAGCATTGGTAATATCAAACAAAGTCGAGAAATTAACCAACAGATTGCGATCGAAGATTATAACCTCGCGCTCGAACGAATCGTAGTTCGAGAAAAACTTTATTACCACATCTTCACTCACAGTCTCGTCCTCTGCACGACGAACAGAGTTATTGCCACAGTTTATACCTGTCGAATATAATTGTGCCCGCGGGAACAAAGTGGTAGATGGCGATTCAAACGTAAATAGTCGTCACTTTATATCGATCATGGAGATCGCTTATAAGTTTCGATGGTAAGGAGGGGGTAGAGTTCACTCGAATCGTACGAGGTGAAGTACCAAATGTTTGAAAGTCGTACCGGAGTTGTTTCGGATGCAACTGAAAAGCCTCAAATTTGGGTGGTCGATAAATCTGTAAAGTGAGCCTCTGAGAATCCATCTCTATGTTATTTCCATAAGCTGCGCGAGAGTCCACTATTCACAGCAGCTCCTCGTTATGATTCTTATTTTTCATCAACCTATACGAATACTTGCCAAAGCTCATCATCACTAGGCCCGCTGCAATTCCAATTCCAGCAGCTATCGCAGTAACAGTTACAGTCGTAGTGGTTATAAAGTTTCTACTCAGTGTATAATTGTCTAATTCTGTTGGTTGTAAGAATGGATCTTCTTGGCCAGGCGCAAGGAGAATTGATCGACAGGTACTTTGGTTATGCTGTTGACATTATCAATCCAAAATTTCCTAGTCATGTTGAATCCGCCTAAGTAAGTGGGTGTTCCGTCGGCTTTCCCGCCGTAAGTCTTGAAATTTAGAAACAAGATGTGATAGAATGAATGAAGAGACATCGACTAGTTGACAAATTATAATTACAATGCTATGAATATAAGCTTACAATAAGAACATTACTGTCAGGCAACTGTGCAGAAAAGCGTAATAAATCATGCGCAGGATCTAGTGTCTTTCCTGCTATTTTTTTAAAATTCTCCCACGTCGTGTTTACACACCCACATTGTCGATCCTGCATCGTATACGGTATCTATGGTAACATTTGGATTAACCATTTCCCCGTTGGGAGTGTAATGCCCATATATTCTTGTGAAACTCTTGGGAGATAGAACGATGGATAAAGTCAGAGAAGCAAAAACTAGAAATAATTGGATGAATGCAATATGCTAATTATCACCCACCTACTCAGCACAGTCTAATTCTTTATGCTTAAAATGAATGTATCTCTCGGTTCACACCCTCCATAGATAAATAGCACTTCGCCTTTGAGGTCTTCACGACAATAGATCTGTGATTTTCAAGATGCGACAACATTGTAGTTATATCTGATTTTGCATTCGACACTCCTGCCCTACCTAGTATTGATCCGTGGTGTATACCAATAAGCATTATCATCATTCAGATTGAACGCTTGGACTGTCGCGTATAAGATACCATCTGACGCAACGGAACATGCAGGTTGAGTGAAATTTGGCGCTTTCGTTGCTAACGCAATGTTCCACTCGGATTAAAAGTGTCTCAACGTAACCGAAGAAGGAATTTATGGAATGGTTATCACCCACATCATATACGTACGTATGTAAAAGCGGTTTCTGTAGGCGAATGCACAGTGATTAGTCCGTACTCCCGGAGAATTATCAGAGTTAAACGTATGTAATGGGAAATATGAGAAGAGCGAGAAGGACAAGAAAGACAAAAGGATGTGAATCGGAATAATGAGTTTTTAGAAGAAAACATGGTGAAAATTCTCTGAATAGTTGCGAATATGAATTATTAATAGAGGGAAACCAATGAGCTGAACGAAGGATGTTATATATTTATTGGCGTCATTGAAAGAAAAAATACTTCTAAAATTTACTTAATTGATTACATTATCTTTTTGTGTGAGCAACTTATTGAGATGACTGAAATCGAATCAAAAAATGTTCGCCTACTAATTTAAAAATAGTAATATCCCGACATTTCTAAGATGCATGCATGCGCTACAACAGTTTTACCGATCGAAAGACATCTTATTGCAGTAGTAGCGTAGTAAGCTGATTGAATGAAGTTCTTAAAAAGCGGCTAATACTAATGTAAACCAGTCAACACATTGATACGTGGCGTAATAGTAATATTGTACATTTATGCGTGTTGGATACTGTGTTGAGGATCCAGAATTCAGTTGTCTCAGTTTCGAACCCAAACATTCAGTCCAGAACTGAGACAGGTCCCAGCTGAGGTACAACAACTATATAATATATTGAAACTGGAACTATAACAACAGAAAACTTGACTAGATATAATGATTGTTCAATCAAATACAAAGGCGTGTTTTGTAACTTACGTTACATAGTTAAGACAATTTCTAAGCTGCTCCATGTCTCTCTTTCTACGCCTTTAGCGTTCAATCGTAAGTGTAAACAAATAAAAAACGAAAAACTCCATGTCTCTCTTTCCGTTCGCAACGTAATTAAGTCTTATAATTGACATAAGCTTTGCAGAACAACTTCAGAAACACATGTCATGTAAATAATACGTATTACTAACGTTACATAATGTTTACGAGCTTGTTACTAATTCTATCATCCGTGCTGTGTTGAATGTAAACGGATAATGGTTTGCGTAATTATAAAATTGTGTTAAAAACTAAAATATTAAACTAAGAAAATGTAATAATAATTTGTATACATTGATAAGCCATCGTCAATAATATGGAATAATAATTATAGCGACAAAATAATTTGGCGATTTAAATTAAAAAAAATTACTATTACTATTTAGCATCATCAAGTTGAGAATACAGTTTAATTTAGGAAAGCAGATGCAAAAGCGGCTCGCGTTGTAGCATTTCGAAGAACTGTAAAGGACAGTTATTATTCCAGTTATTAAAGTCGACACTTTGAACAAACGAAAACCGTAAATTGTACAAAGCCTCACTTTAATTAATTTATTTATCTTGAAATAAATAATCGAACACTGGCCAATTAATTAATTATGATGACAATAACAAATTGTTTATCTCGGAAATAAACCGTTATTATATCTAATCAAGACTTTTAGAGTAAGCGTGCTTATTTAATGGATTACGTAGACTATTTTATTCAATCGCATGCAATATTTCCAAGTTGATATAAATTTTTATTCACACACGCACGCCATCGATGCCCAATCACAAACTCGAGTGAATAACGTTTTGAGAATAGTTAATTAAAGTAATCAGTTACATCAGGAATGTAAACGTTAAATGTGTTTTCTCACATCAGATTGGTCCTCTAATAAAATAGTCGTGCATAATGATTAACAAAGTGCACCAAAACGAAATTCTCATACGATTACCTCTATATCCATTTTGAATATGATTATTCACAACTTAAAGTCAGGGCTGTAGGTTTTTGCGATACTGGACAATGCACGTATCTTGATCTTTGAAATGCATTCCTAGTGTTAGTCACAGTTTTCTATTAATAGCAGACAACCCGCATTTAGCATAATCGTAATGTTGTAAGGATACAACGTGTGTTACCAGCCAGCTTATTTGCATGAATTTGATCGTACCAACAGCATGATGTGCTGAATGTCGCGGTTGATTTAACTACACCATGAAAAATGGAGAATATTAAACAATATTATTTTAACATTGTAGTTGGTGCAGCCGTTAATATGTTGTAAAGGCACCAAATAAAACACAAAATTTTTTTGATAAGAACGAAACGCTTGATCTAAGGAAAAGACCAATTAAAACGAATGGTTCTTTACAAGTTTCGTTAGTAATTTCCTACGTGTGTAACAATTTGAACACATTCTATAATAATAACTTAAAATTAATTAACAACACGAACACATCGTTGAGAGCGGTAGGATATTTTTATAGTCGGCATATGCAATATTATGTCTTCCCTGTCCTGTATTGAATAAAAGTTTAATGTTGTCTCGTCGTAAATAACATAAGCATGCATCATAGAGTGTGATACTGTATAGCAATATAACAGTACTTCGGATAGCTGATATAATCAATCTGTTCACCGGATTGAGATAAGCCGATTTCCAGTTAGTAACATTCTTTACCTTGTTTTATGTGATCATATACAGTATATGTCAATGAGCAATTTGTCATTGGACGTCTTTCCCGTCGGCTCTGTGCGTAGTGCAGTATCTGATACTTTCTGTGTCACCAACAATCTCTCCTTAAATCATGAAACACAGCAGCCAACAGACGTACTGCAAGCGTCGATGCGCAGTGTCACCGTAAACCAAATTTAGCATTGAACTTTAATTTCCGTAACACACATCTTAACTAGGTTAGAAAGTTGAGAAAAAAAATAACATTCGACATTTTCATTAATCGGCACAACCAAAATCCGGTGACTGTCTTGACGACTGACTGTATCACCCGCTTTGGTCAGCTCCTTACTTACTAAGCGTCTCTATTAAATTACCTAATTCGAACATGCATCGTTACTTTTGTTTATCCCCATGGTAAACTTTATCGCTTTACCCCAAATGACATCTCGATTTTATTGGTTCAAGGAAGCATTAGTCAATATCTAACTTTGCCGCGCTGCCATGATGTTCGATAAGGAGAGTTATTTATGGGTAAACAAACACACATAATGATTGTCTTGTCCATGTAAAGAATACAATACTTGATATAGCGGGACGTTTTCAGCACGATCGGCCTTGATGATCGCATTGAGTTTTGTATCCATCACGTTCAGACAAACGAACCGAAATGTTTGTTTGTATTTATTCTATTCATTGTAAACCTGACATCTGTTGAATCCCTTTTTTCCGTTAAATTAAAAACGCTCCATTAATCATCTCTTGGCTTACCTTTTAAGGTAATGTTCCGATAGAAGAAACGCTCAATCCAAGACACAGACCACACGCAATACAGGCCACATCAGATGCAAATAATAAAAATGGTAAATGACTATGGAAAAAGTCGGTACAAACATCACACGTAATTATCGATTAATTATACGTTACAAGTATTTAACCAGTTTCTAACTTTCTCCTTGCATATTTGATATTCATTATAACCGATCATGAGAAACACCAATCGCTGTCATCTTTTCTTACTAATAAATAGAGCGTTTCCCCCAATCTTTGCATCGACTTTATGATCACATTGGTTTGCTTGAAGCATACTCTTATATCAAACACCAACTTGTAGAAAAGACACATACAACATCTGTGTTCACCCACATTCCTTACATTATATTTTTTCGTCTATCACTCTTATCCTAATTGCAAAAATGTTTAGTTCAGAAAATATTGCCCTAACCATAATCAACATAATATCGTTCATATGTGCAACATATATGGCGATAGTATTTTACTGTACCAAAAAGAATCCGATGATGTTTTATTACTCGGTGGACGCAATGTTCTTAAACGCTGTGGGCTTACTGGGAGTTGTATATAGTTTTAATTGGAATCAAGCTCCCATAGAAGCTTGTTATTTTCAGGCGTTGGCAGTAAGTTTTAAACCGTACAAATAAATGTTGATATTATAAAAATGTTTAAACTTTTGTTAACATTATTTTCCTTCTAAACCATGATTAGACTCAATTTGCTGCTTTTGTAACGGCTTCAGCCGGATTAAATTTTACAATACAAACATACCGACTTCTTGTACTATACAAGCGACGCGATTTAACGCATTCACGATTAAGATATTACTACTACGGATTTCTAATTATATATCCTATTGTAGGAACCATAATAGTGAGCGTTGTGGCTATTATGGAAAAAGCTGTAAAGCCCCGACTTTATCACTGGTAAGTCTCTATATAAACATGGACTGTAATAACATACAACTTATGTTAGATGCATGCGAAGTAACAAAATCAAATAATGTACTATGTATTTAGAAAATCGCTTACCTTTTTCAAACTCACAAGTGTTACCAATACTGATCTACCACATATTTTCTTATATAACCATAGTGACATAGTCAGTCCGATCTGGGTTCGTTTAGTAAGCTATAATGGTGCCAACCTTCTCTTATCGATTCCTGGCACTTACTTCTCGGCACGCGCAGCAATAGCAGTGTATCGTCATACAGGCCAATTTAAGTCAACCAAATTATCTGCCAACGACGTTACCAATTCACAAGGTTCCACCGACAGTCTAGCGATGACAGCCGAAGCACTCGGAAGTCGAGTAAATATCTTGGATGCTGAAAAACATTCCCATGTTCAATTACCCAAGCTTACACTGGACAGCAAATCTACTTATGCCCGGCGGAACACAGAACCAAGTATTAACTTGAGTACATCGAACAACAGTTACGGCATTACACGATCTGCAGCAATTCGAATGGTTGTCTTTACCGTTGCTTATGCCATTACAAATCTTGCTGCTTCGGTTGGAATTATTCTCGACGTTATCGCAAACAAACCGTTACCACCAAATCCTGGTGGATCCGATTTTGTCGGATCATCTCTTGGAATACCATTGCTTCTAATTTTTGGAACTTCAAGTGAGATTAGACAGTGGACTAGGGATAAATTGAAGAGCCTATTTGCGTCTAAAAATTAAAGTTTCAAATTGCTTAGTTTAACATTAAAGATAAGGAGCCACAGTTGGAGAAAAGTAATAGTTTTGTTAGCTTGAATGGACATTCTAAATCTAGTAACTTATTTTTATTTATTTTTTGTCCGTTTATTAATTTTTTTTCCGTTTTCCGTTTTATTTTGAGAAACAAGAAAGTTTGTTCATCTCTTGTATTATTATTACTGGTAATAATTGTTGTATATACAGGGTTGGACAAATTCTAAAACCCAATAAATAATGTTTATAACCCACTTGAAATGTGTCTGGTGTAATAGTAAAATTGATATGTTGTTATTATGATACCGTAAGAAATTACAGACTATTGCGAAAGTTTTACTTATCTTACCAAACTACTTGCATTGTGATATATTGACACTTATTTAAACATACGGAAGAGAGTTTTCTATAATAAGGATATGCATAAAAACTTGTTGCCGTCGAAATTTACTATATGTACTGTATTTTATTCTTCGAACGTTGCCTAGGAGATTGCGTTATCGCATGTCGATTGCATGTTAACTAAATTGGAAATGTAAACAAACATTTGTAAATTATTTACTTTTCTACATTATATTGGCTTTATAGAAAAAATAAGGCTTCGGCGATCAGATTAACGTAATATACCATGCTGTCTATTGTAATATCTAGTATATTGTATTTAGGATTAGAATATTAGAATAAGCAAAGAAAGATGCAAATATTATGCGCTTAACCGTAATTAATGATTATGAACAGCATTACTTCGATTTGAAAAAAAAAAAGTTATAACATGGTGCACAGTTGTGTCTACGCAAGCTAATTACAGTTTTATTTATAAAACTTGACTGTTTAGCATGTTAACTCGATCAATAATATTTTCACAGCACGGTAAATTTCGATTATCAGTTGCATGTGGCAGAGTTTGTAGTCGTTATATTATATCTAGTCCTTAACTTCGTGATGACATTCTTTTTATTTAGTCATTATCGCTTCCATTAAGCATGCAAGTCTCCAAATGATGGTCATTTGACAGATATAAATCGTGTGTGATACAGATTTGTGCCACCAAAATCCAGATAAAATCGTAAAATGTATTGTGCGGCCTTGTATACATCAAAAATCAATAATAGTATGGCGTTTTTTTATATACACAGTCAACCCCGTTAATCCGAATTTCTTAGCATTTTCCACCACCCATGTTCCTGACCCACTTTGGGGTAGTTACTTACTTTATCTGACATGCTCTAAAATGTTACACATCTAATTACGTGATTATCACGTGCTCCACAATGTTGATGACAGTAAACTCGCGAAGGTCGGGGAAGAGACAATTTATTCGGCTTATCAAGATTTTCGTTTGACTACATTCGCACTAAGCCGAATTTATATATGTTTACACAAATTTCGACTTATACAATTCAACAGTATAAACTTTATTAATGGTAAAATAAAAGAATACTTGTTTGCTGTAACGTATTCTGTTGTTTAGTCTAGTCTTTTCAACATTGAGTTCGCTGTCGCAATCTTGACTCATATAGAATCGACTATTGGAAAGTCTTCCGACTCCGATAATTCTCTTCCTCCTATTGTTGCAATAATAGAAACCGTTGTCAGCATATTATATACAGAGAAAAAACTTTCTAAATTAACAAATTCTGCTACTTTCATTTAACTTCTTGAGTATTAATAGAAAGTTGATTAACAAGTTCATTAACTCTGTATTCAATGATAAATTAACACCTTCTTTAGTTTCGTCAATTGTGATACTGTTAGGTAGGATACCCGTTTTATGCCATGCGTGTGTTATTGTCTCGGTGATTACTTGGTTCCATACGATTCTAATAAATTCGATAGCCTGTTGAGGAATTGCTGAAAGAGGCTGGATTTGAGCAATAGCATTATCGTACTGATCAATGCAATAACGTTTTCGATATTGGCTTTTGAAACTATAAATAATCCCGGCGTCACACGCTGAAGATGTGCCACAATTGGGAGGTAAAAAATGCACTGTAATATTCGACAACGTGGTATCATCATTGATTTTATGCGAGGAGGCCTTGTCTACGAGCAATGGATGTTTCGACGTGATTTGCGCATAGATACACCGGTATTGATCAGGGTACATCTGTCCGAGAAAAAAGTGTGACGCAGTTACAAGCAATAATATTTGGGAATAGTAATAGCCACTTCCCCTTACAATTCAATCGCTTATGTAAATTAATTTATCTCATTCAATGATTCTATGTTACATCCACTGTGATGTACAGTATTTTCACTGTCAATGTAATTGGCTTAACGTATGTATGTATTGATCATTATTCTAAGTGTGTATTCAACAGAAAAATACAGAATGAGCTACAAATCAAAGGGCCAAAAATATTGTTATTATTATATTAGTACCCGAGTATACACGTAAATCAAACTCAGCCTTCTGAAACTGGTGGAGGGTACATTTCATGGGGGAGTACATATGGAGGTAATTGCTCTCATACTTACTTGAAACTAGGTAGGGGTTTTTTTGGGGGGGCTTCCTAGTAGTTTGTGTTATTAATCTATGAGCGAGATTATTTGTATACGTAAACAAAGAGTAAGTAATATAATATGATTATTTAGACATAGTCGAACTGGTTATGGCTTTATCTTATAAGAACATTTTCGTTGCTTTAATTTTTATTATGTTATTCATTTATTGGGAGGCCGTACGTGGTAAGGACGTGGTCAGGACGGTAGTTTATTATTAATATAGATAAGACAACATCGACAGACAGGATTTCCGTTGATTGATTTACTCCAGCTATTCTTTTGCTATTTGGAAAACAGAGCACCGCTGTTAATGAAAAGTTTGCCAACAAAGTCTAGAGAAAATACAAAGAAAGCATGTCCAACTCTCCTACCAGCGATACACGAGATCCTACTTTTCTCTTCTTTGTTCTCTCTTGGAGGATTCGTGGTACGCTATAATATCAAAGTCTGCTATATTTAAGTTTGATCCACTGTCGCTTACGTATTGTGAGGTACGAGAGGTAAACGTGGCGATATTATTTCGTACTTGGGCAGCGGATTCTATTGTGGCGATTGTGCGGATCCACGTACGTGCGTGAGGTATATTGGCTGAATTATACGCAGTGACATGGGACTTGAATGGGTTAATCTGGAGAATTGGAGTAAGTGGACAAGTTATAGATTAATTAATGTGTTAGAAAAGGAATAGTTACTTACAGTCAGTAATTATCATGTAGCGACGTTATCGTGCCGGCTAGTTCGAGCATGTCATCTAATGCAAAAGCCATTGTTACACGCCAGTCTGGTTTATCTTTCGGCACGTATACATCGAATCGAATATGTATCGATTCAGAGGCGAAATTGAGAAAGATTTGCCTTTAGCTTTGAACAGTATATTGCTTTGTTTTCTTCTTGGACTTGGAGAACGTGCACACGGCAGTTGAATTAACATCGTCGGATTATAAGAGGTATGCGGAAGAAAGATGCCGAAAAATATGATAGCATCGCAGATGTGTTCTTTATATAAAACGCAATCAGGTAGGTATGGTAAATAGTAAAGTAAAATGATGGAAAAGGAAACTGGGGTCGTTTTTAATAAAGATGAAATATTAATAGGTGACAAATAAAATATGGAATTTTTATACTGAAGCAGAGACGTGGCATGCAATACTGACCAGTTTCCCGGCAAATGCGAACCCTTGTCTTTGCAAAACTCCAATCGTTGGCCGTCCTTGAGGTAGATTTGATGGGGATTGAATACGATCGGATTATATGGATTGCTGTGCATTTTGTATCAAAAAAAGAAAAGATATGGAGATGCCAAGATTATCAAAAGAGTTATAGTATCTGAATCTGATTCTTCCACATCCAGTTCGGGATCAGAGTATAAAACTGAAGCGGTAGGCTCGAAGAGCCATGATTCGAAGAATTGCCTAAAGGCCTGTTCTACAATAAGAAAGCGCCCCATTCTAAAACGTAAAGTAAAAGGTAAAGTTAATTATCGAACTTTATAGCGGAGCTAGTGTCCCGACGTATGTAGAAAACTTCTATGTCTGGCTAAAAATTTGTACGAATTGAGTATGGATTTCTTCCCATTCTTTCATCAGATTGTCTAGCCATGTAGTACTTAAACCACTCTTTAGTTACTGCGACGTAATAACTCTTCTCCGATTAGCCTATCCCGATCTGTTAAAAATTTACGATATTTTCTAGTATCTTCCTGCCTCTCTATCCACCACGATAGAATCTTTCTAGGTCATTGTACTATACCACAGAATACATCATAGCACGGAGAAGCCTTCGATTTTAATCGTGTGACCTGATGATTGCGTATGCTCGATCAACATACGTGGGGATGCTGAAAAGTTTTGTCGTTGATTCTTTATTTCTCGAAATTACATAATAATTATTAATAAAACTAT